TGTCTTAGGTAAATATATAAATGTTCTCTTACATTTTGTTACAAACTGACAAATATTACTTTACATCAGTGGTCGCCAACCTCTCAATGTGTTGAGCTACTTTGTTAATTTTGAAATAAACACCGAGCTACCCACACGGAAGCCACTTAACGCAACGTAAATGAAATAATCCACAGTTAATTTATCATTATATGTATTTATTTTACTATTTAACTGGTAATACATAATACATAGGTACTAATAATAAACTAATACCAAAATAACTAATATTACTAGTACGTACTTGTTCATAGCTACATTCCTACCTACCAAACGAAGGTGTTTGAAAAATAATCACAAACTTTTATCCAGCCACAACGGCATGTCACGAAAGATTTAAAAATAGTTAATAATAACAACAAAAAAGTAACGCACTATCATGAACATAAACATTGAAAAATAAAAAAGCACGTTCAATGAGAAGGCTGACACTCAGACTCATCGATAATTTTTTTAATGTTTGCAGTATAATCTGATACAGCCATTCGAATACAATTATCCAAATGTTCATCTGTAAGTCAATTGCGATATTTGTTCTTAATAAACTTCATATTAGAAGAAGAAGATTCACACAAATAGGTTGAACTGAATAATGCTTTTACTTTCAAGGCAACACGGCATAGAACTGAATATTTATCTTTACTTACAATAGGCCAGATACATTTGCTATTACTATTGCTATTGCTATTGACAATGTAATGTTATTTAATTCTTTTCACTTTCTATGAAATAGTGTACCTGTGTGTTAGACAATTGCTAAGAAGTTTTATTCATATTACTATTAGTTTTATTGTTGTATGTTTTTAATCAGCCGAAACAAGTACTCATGTACTTATCGGCCTTATCACTTAATTCGATAAATTGTTTATATTGATGTCGATGTATTTATTATTATTATTATTGATGTTGATGTATTTATTATACAATTTATATATATATTTTTCTTAATTTATGCGAATAAAGTTATTATTATTATTATTATTATTATTATTATTATTATTTGATACTTGAGACTAATGATTTTATGGCTAAATCATTTTGAAACTCAATTACTTCCATTTCAGTTGCAGCGATGTCTTCGCCAAAGTTCTGCATAACACAAGTTGCAAACTGTTGGATATCAATTTCCATAAAGGGTGAAACAACAAACTGCGCTACTAAAGCCATTTCGTTGAAATCCTTAAAACGATTTTTGAAGTTATTCTTCAGGGTAGAAACTATTTCTACATGATATTTGCTGTCATCGGGTTCTAATGGATTTTGAGATATTTTTTCTGAAAGACTAGGAAAATGCTTGGCATCGCTGTTAATTAGGTTTTGTTCCCAAAACTACAGCTTTTTGATAAATGCTTTAATATCAGAAATCATTTCCGCTAGTTCTTTTTATCTCCCCTGAAGCTGCAAATTAAGTTCGTTTAATTTCTCTGTAAGTCCACGAGAAAACCAGAATCTCTAAGCCAGATTGAATTTTCTAGTTCCGGAGTCGGTTCATCGCGTTGTTTGAAAAATTTAACTATGCCAGATAGGGCATCATTAAAACGTTTCAGCACCCGTCTTCTACTTAACCTTCGGACTTCAGAGTGAAGGAGTAGGTCCCCGTATTGACAGTCAACTTCATCGGCCAAGGTTTTGAATAATCTTCTTTGTAACGCTTGAGCTCTAATCTTGTTCATAATTTTTACCACCAGTTTCATAACGTTGTTTAGTTTCAGGAAATTTCCACATAATGCTTGCTGATGGATAATGCAGTGGTAACAGAGACATTGCGGAAAAGTTTCATCTTTACGACATAACGCCACCAGACCCTTATCACAACCCACCATAACTGGAGCACCATCGGTTGTCAAGCCTACCATTTTCGATATTGGAATTTTCTCGGTAGAAATAATATTTTTTAAATGAGAAAACAACTCCTGTCCAGTAGTGTGTCCTTTCAGTGGAATAAACTTCAAAAGATCTTCTTTAATCGTAAAATCACTAAAAACCATCCTGACGAACACAGCCATCTGGGCAGTGTCAACGACATCTGTTGATTCATCCAGTTAAAGTGAAAAATAAACACGGTCAGTTCTTAACTGTAAAAAAATATCATTGCTCATTACTTCTACACGTCTCATGACTGTATTAGCAGAAAGTTGCATAGATTTTATAGCTGAAACTATCTCGTCTTTATTTCTAAAGTTAGCAAATAACGAATCAGCAGTTTCTAAAAACGCCTGTTTTATCATTTCCCCGTCTTTATAAGATTTCTTTTTTTATGCAATTATCTGATACACACGGTACGATGCTTCAGTTGCAGCCTTATTTTTGTCGACTGTTCTTAAAAATATTGATTGTTGTCCAATTAACTGCTTTTTTAACTGTTTCAGTTTCTCCTTTCTGGCGGCAGAATGTAGTGGGAATGATTTTTCAAAATTAGAATGTACAGTTTTATGATGTCTTTCAATATTTCCTTTTTTAGCAACGGAGACCGAAGTATTACATAACAAATACACATTTTTATCTTTAACTTCTGTAAAAAAGTATTGTTCTTCCCATTCCGAATGAAAGTGGTATATCTTTACCTTCTTACAACTGCTTGCCATAATATTATTTTTTGTTGTTTTTTACTAACCCAACCGCTGGACGTTGCACAGAGGGGCCACGTTAGATAAAACTCACCAAAAACTCTAAAACCAAAATTTAGGTAACTAATAAAAATAACCACGGTAAACCTATTACAATAAATCCTTCTTCTTAAGTCACATTAGCCTTGGATTGTCTGTGTGTTAAAACAAAGGATAAAGCTTGTCAAAAATAGCGTCTTAAATGCGTATATTGCTGTAATTTTTTGAGTGTAATTATTATTGATAAATTCGGTCTACTCTTTGTGCTATATAATCGAAATAAATTTGATAATAATTATATAAAATAATCGTCGTGGTATGTAGATTATTATTGTATAAAAAAATTTATTGCTGTATTTTACTTTTATTCCAAGAAGGCATTTTCATGAGTTCTTCAAAAATTAACAAATTTATTCAGACCTAGGATATCTTTTAGCGTAGATTTTGGCATAGTTTCTTTTCGTGAACATTCTTATTTATAGTGA